TGTGGATTTACCAACAACCTAGCGAAGGAAGACACCGTACATCCTACCGTGTGAGTAGGGAGTATAAGTTCGCTACTTCGGTGGTGCACCAAGGACAACACAAAAAATGAGGCACCCCTCCCGTGAATAGAGCGCCGATGTCTTCGATACTCTCAGCCACCATATCCATATGTTAAGGCGAGGAAAGTGGTTTGAATGATGCAAGTGCCGATCAGAGACAGATATGGCAACTTCGGAAGCACCCGTCGATGGCATCGCCATCGTCTGGTTTCCTTTCATATGCATAGCAGCAGTGGCGATTGAAGCATGACACAGTTCAGAAGCAATACACATGCACGTAGCACCCCTGCTCTGAAGATTCGATTTCAAAGGTCGTCACTCAACAAGAGATCGTAGGCCCTGTGCTGTCCAGGTTGCCACTTGAATACTTGCTGCTCGTTGTACGAACCCATGATGAGCCATTGACAGCACAGCAAACGCGCTGCCCGCGGACAGGCACAGCCACAGAGCTGTGACCTGCAAAGACTTGGCTACGAAACTCATTCTGTCCGACTCGTGAAGGAATCAGGTACCCTTAAAACCGTCGATGCAATGGTTAGGTCCGTGTTGGGTTGTGATCGGAATTGTAGAGGCAGGGAGATGTGTGGCGTGAGACGAAGTCTGCTGGTTTTGCATGCGGGGCATAACGCTTCTCGCCGAATTATTAATCGCAAAATTTTGTTCCGAATTCGATGTCAAATTCAACATCATAGGGCTGAGATGGCACGAATCTCAATCTTCGGCCATTATTCACTACAGTATTCACTAGACCTTTTAGGCCCCCCGAGGAAAGTTGGGGAAACAATGGTTCTAACAAAGATTCAAAATCAAGGCGAATGTTTGCTTCTTCCGGATGCATATCATAACTGAGTGCATGCGCTCGCTACCTCGCTACCCACACACGTCGCGTGGATCTTTCTTTTTTACGAAAGTTGGCACACGGGGCATAGAATAATGGTTTCGGATAAATGAGGGGTAGGCCAACGTCACAATACATCCCCAAAACGCCCTCCTGACCGTTGCTTCGCCACGAAATTGTCATGGCTGTGCGCAACTACACTGTAGGCTTCTCAAGCTGGGCGATTGCTTTGGGTTGCCGTGTGCGTCGAGAAAGAAAGACGAATCCTGGTGAGTCCGCGTGAACATCCGCAAAAGTACAACATCCTGGTGAAACTTCGGACTTTCGCTCACGAGACAGGTTGCGCGAGCGGGGACTTTTTTGTGGGGAAGAGTTCCACACTTGTATCATTGTACTTCGTAGAGGCAGAAGAGCAGTGGTTGTACGGGGAAAAGAAGTGATGATGTAGGTTTGGAAGGGAGCTGTGGACGACAGCGCACATCATGCACATGTGCTACAGGTATCAGCTAGAACAGGCGGTGCTCGTCGTCCAATTCGCACCTTCGTGAGTGCTCTGGAAGGCTTGATCAAAGGGTAGCTTGCCAGTCTTCAATGGCACTCTATCTTCCCCAAAAGTCTACAACGGCTACACGAGCATCCGCCACCGTTTTGCATTCGAGACACCTGATGATGGTGTCAATGCCTAAGTCACTTGAACCGGTAGCATGCAGCACCTGTGGCAGCCACATGCCTGACAGTGATCACACATAGAATTGCTACAGAAAGGCCGTGTTCCACCTTCCTGCGGTCTGTGGCGAAAATGACCAAGTTATACATAGCATAGTTGACTGGATTATGGCACGGCGAATAAAAAGCAGTTCGTTTCCAGGAAAGCTATTTTGTGTGTTTGGCCAATCAGACAACAATTCCAAGTTTCTTGTTCCTTGGTCCATGTTCCTACATGGTGTACATACATAAACGGTGCACGCTGTGTGACGCTTTTACGGACAGAAAGAGCAGCCAAGGTACATAGTCCAATAGGCTTGCGTTCGCCCTGGATAAGCGTTCTAAGTACGTACGTGGATGTGTGCTTAAAGGGGGAGACCCTGGAGCGATTGGAGAAAATTGGGGATGATCCGTGCGGTCGATTATTCACACAGGCACGGTATGACAACACAGGTTGCTCCGCCTTGCACCACAAAATCGCAACCTTGTGTGTTGTGTGTTCCGTGATGCGGTCTTGCTCGATCTTTTCATCCTTGGACAAATACACAAACGGCAACCCCCAGCCCGACCTTCCACCATTGCGGGGCTTTGACAAATTGGCCGAATACATCAGTCCCGATGCTGGACCGCGTGAGTCGTGGCTGGTCGCTGTGTCTATTACTGCTATGTAATCTGCTATGAAGTGATGCTTGATGCCACGTCCCCGCAAGGGTGCGGGGCAACACCTGACGCTTCGGGTTGAGAACGCGGAGGGATTGATTGCGGCAGAAGCGGGACCGTAAACCGCAAAAATGACCGTAGCTATGTAGAGGTCGGTTTGCGGCTTGCTCATAGTGCCGTGATTGCGCTTCGCAGGCAAGGGGTGACGATCGCTATGTACCTTGAAAGAGAAAATCAGAAGCCGCGACTACTGTAGTGACGAATCTTATTATCTAGCCAACAGCCGGAGACGGGCGCCTGCGACAAAGATCGCGAGCACATTTCATCACCCCTGCACGCGGCGCCTATACATAGTTCCAGGGAATATATCATGCTCGACGTGGAGACGATGCGGGTGTTTGGCAGGATTCGTCCTCCTGTCTTGGACTCTCTAGAAGAACAGAAGGCTTTGGATCCTGCGGTTTCGGTACGTGCGCAGATAGATGCCATCGGCCATCATAACACCGTGGAGTTTGAACCATATGGCTTGGATTGCGTGGGCAGAACTTGTTGACTGTTGCCTCAGTGTGTGCTGTCTTGTGGTACAATTGCGTCCTTGCGTGCAGGTAGTTACCTTAGTTCGCGTAGCCTTGTTTAAAGAATGATTAGTTCCACGTGCGGTATCGCCGGGTGTCAGTTCAGCACTTCACATGAGCAAGAGTGTGCCGCCACACAGTCATCTAGATGGAGCCTAATATTGCTGTCTTGTCATCTGCACATCTTGTAACCCATCCCGATCCCTCGGGTTGTGAACAAGAGCCCTCTAGTGGCGGAGATACACACACGCGCTTTTGAACGGGTACCCATGGTCGGGCCACAAGCATGTATGTAGTCGCTTCTCTCTACGCCATGATCAGCCGTTAGCACGTCCGACTGATCCGTCATCGCACCGGGGGTACGTTGTAGCCAGCTGCCACTATCCTTCTCGTGGACTGCGTGGAAGTGTCCCCTCATCACAATCTGCCAGTCCTTTCGGTTTTACGCCGGCTGGCGAATCACATCATCGAGCAGAATAATGTCTCAACAGGAGCGTGTTTCGTTGCATGATGTTTCGTTGCGTGATGCGGATTGTTTTCTTCGTACAAAGCAAGCAGTGGCTGTGAATAGCAGTCTCGAGAGGGTGGTAAAAGCAACTTATCATGTTTGCATACTTGCTTACAACTGCAATTATCGTCCCCGCTGGCATACGCTCAGGTGAACGTGTGCGTGTGCGATTGTCCTGATCCTCCAGCTCGCCGCACCTGGCAAAGGATATTTGCTAAGCACCATTGTGTTTGAGTTTTATTCACGTTTCACCGTCGACTGCACTCGCCTTATCCTTTCAATCGTGCAGGATGGTAGCCCTGAAGAACCGACCGGTACCTCGTGTATTGAATCGTGGAACTCCAACGGAACCATTGTTTATTCTCAAGGCGCGCGTCGGGAGTTCAAATTTACAGGGTGCTTTGGAGCGGAGCACTCACAGGAGGAGGTAAAACACTCAATGCAAGATATATGATGAGTTTCTAGAGCCTGCGAAAAGATGCTACAGAAGACTGCCATTTCCAACAAATGGTATCGCAGGATTTGGAAAGCAAGAGCAACCTAAAAGAGATGTAATCCAAGACTTGGTTCTGGCTACCGTCAGGAATTCTTGCCGACTCACATAACCAATAAACCCTGACCCCAATCCTATGAGGCGTGGATCGTTCTCTCGGGTCCTGTTTTTAACCTCGAGATCATGTTTCGTTTATTTGAAATAGAAACGCAGTTTTTCAATACTCTACGTGGACTGCATGTCAGCAAACATGCGCTTTCACCCGCCCGTTCCCTTACCACAGATATTCAATATTGTGGGAGCAGGCGTCGTGGACGGAATCGTTGATGGATGCAACGGGACGATCCTATGTACTGGTCGGAGAGGTTCAGGTGTGACGTATTCCCCTCCTCTCCCCCTACCCACGTCCCGCTCCGACTTCTGCCGACGAAAAGACGTCATGGAAACTATACGGTCAACTACACGGTCTATGGCGTTTGGCTTCTGTTGCTAAATTCGTCTGAATTCATCGGCACTCCTTGTCAAAATGTGTGTGTGCCACTAGGTAAAACATACACACTGTGCGGTTCAGGGCCTGCTGGAGGAGAAGAAGAGGGAACTCTGGCTCGAAGCATGACAAGACTGTTTTCAGGCCTAAAGAAGACCCGGGGGCGCCACGTCAGCGTTCGCGTCTCCTTATTAAGAATATATTGCGAAACACTACAGGTAGAGTCCTCTCTCAGGAAGAAACGCAAATTGTGCGGGTCAAGCCGTGTGCTCCAGGCTGTTTCTCGATATTTCGGTAGTGTCTTTGCACGAACACAAAAACCTCTCTCTACCGTTGGTTCATACTGTGTCATCGTGTCACCGTCTTCCTCGCTAACAGCTGCCCGAGCTCAAGACCTCACGCTTTGCAATATATTTTCCCTCAATTGCAGGACATGTTGGACCGATCCTCCAAGAGAGACATCCTAATCAGGGAGAAATCGAGCGGAGAGACTTTCCTCGAGGGACTTTCTTCCAGAACCGTTCGCAGCAGGTAGAAAGACAGGAAACGGCGGCACCATCGGTTGGCTTGCCCTAGATATTATGCGGTACCTGGTGCCCTGAAACGTGATAGTCAAGCCCTTCGCTCAGATACAACATTGCAAAGGTCCTTGTGGTGCAACTCAATAATGACAAATGCTGCCTTGCTCGTTGCCCAGCGCGGAAGCTATATCTATCTTCGAAAGTGCTCAATTTGACGAGGGGTCAAGCCGCGGCCACACGATCGCGCTCGTGTACTTGGAACAGCGTCGCCCCGAAGAGGCGCGCTGCGAAGGAGAGGACGGGTTAACCCAGGTACCGGAAGCATTTTCGGTACTGTCTCTGTACGAGGGTGGTAGTTTCCTTTGGGATCTCCTCGGCTCTGACGACCACTCCTTCGAACGTTTGGTGAACTTGCTTCTGCTTTTGTCGATCCTCAAAACGACCAGAGCTGTTTGATGCTAGCAGACCTAGCTGCAAGCGAGAGCGCTAAGCGAACGGAGGCAAGATATCGACGTCTGGAGGAATGCAAGTTCGTCAACCTGGGTCTGTCTGCTCTGGGGAACTGCGTGGCTGCTCTGGCGAAGGTGGAAACTCGTGCAACTAAGATGAAGGAGTCATTTAAGTTTCCTGTGCGTCGATACTGGACCCATTACTACCGCGAACGTTCCCTCTAAGAGTTGAGGCTTCTTGTCATGCCTGACACTTCACGTGATACTCCTATGCACGAGGTCTCACAATCACGTTTGTTTTCTGCCCTTATCCTCGCTGTTTCCCTCTCAGGGGCAGGCACATGTCCCGTTTCGAGACAGCAAGCTGACGAGATTGCTTCAGCAAACCTTAGCAGGCAACTCCAAGACGGCGGTGATTGTCGGAATTATTCCTGAGAGGTATGGCGTATGGGGTAGACATACCGTGGTTGAGCACCCTGCTCCGAAACATTTGTCCGAGCATCGTATAGTTGTCATAACCCTTTTCACTCTCTTGACGTATGTGAACTTCGCCAAAATCGCCTCTAGGGACGAGCTTGGCGAAACCTTGGCGACTCTCATATTCGCTCAGAGAGCAATGTCCGTGATGACGGATGCCCGCGCGAACGTTGTCCCGGACCTTGAAGCACGATGCCAAGACTTGCAACAACAATATGACAACCAGAGCGACAAGTTGACCCAGATGACTCTCATGAAAGCGTCCGCAGAAGAGCGCTTGGAAGTAGCACATGACCTACTGGCACGTCTCCAAGAAGAGAAGAATGCCACCGATGTCCGGCTTCAGACTATGGTGGAGGCGTACGAGATGCTCACGGTAATTTTCTTCGTGCAAGAGCGTCTGTTTTCTCTTGGTTATCCACTGCATGATATGCTCCCAGAACTCGAGTCGACATGGATCTTCAAACCGCGTGGACGTTGGGACTATATTGCACTCGACTACTTGGGTTGGGTTAGAGAAGTACCCAAACGAGAATATACTAGAAGCGGCGATGCACCGCCTGGAGACGGCCTCCCTGGAGCCGATATCACCTTGAGGGTCACGGGGAGATTTGCTGTTTCTCTGTGATGTGTCGTCAGCAATCACACCTGCCGCGTATTTGGTGAAATACCCCTAGCAACCCACCAATCTTTCCGCAAACAAACGCTGCTCGACTTTGAAAATCCTAAACAGTAATAGACAATGGCTTTGGAAATTGAAGTTTGAAACGTCCGTTTGCTTTTGCGCTATCGTACAGGAGCCAAGAAGCGAGGATGCGGTATCCACGACCGACACAACTCAGCAGCAAGAGTGGAAAGAGAGAGCACGCAACATGAAAGCTGAATGTGATCGGTGAGTGCGAACAACAGGACCGCGGACGCACTGGAAACCTGGAGTAGGTCGGTCGGAAAAATTCCCTGGCATGTGCCAAACAACTCGATCAACCTACATCCGTGCGCAACATCGACGTCCGTTCGCCGATCATGTCGGTGTCCGGATGAAGGGAAATGAAGAGCTTGAAACAAGGATACGAGGAGCGTGTTCAGGCATACAAAGCAAAGGCCGCCAGGGCCGCCGCGCAATGCTGCTCGAGCGACTACGAGCTGACCAAGGAAAAGGAGGCCCATCTACTAGTCACCAGGTAGATCCGTGGGAATCTACGAGCGCGTGGTTGTCGCACAACATGACGTAGCCTGGCCAATACTATAATAGTACCATTTACCGCCAACCGGAGAAGAGGAAGCGTGTCCCCGGCGCTCATGCAAGCAAACCGTTGCGCTGTTTATGCCATAACAGGGATCTGCGCGTCTGCCAGTCTGAAGGGCGAAGGCAGGAGAGGGAGACGAACCGCCGCATCAGGTACGCTGTTGGTTTCCTCGGGGTGGGCTTGGTGGCCAGTGTCGTTTAGATACGAGATAACAAGCGTAGTGTGTCGCTTTCCTCAGTAAATATTACCACTTACAAGCTTCGAGTGTTTGGTGCGTGGGCTCGGTTGGGAAAGAAGTGTGGATTCTTTGCGTGCCCATGACTGACACCGACCTTGATACCCGTGTACTTTGCCTTTGGCAGTGAGCTGTTGAAAGAACTTGCCGGCAGGGATGCGGTTGTCGAAGACATGGAGGCACGGGTGAGCAAACACCTTACGCCGCCGAAAGTGTCGATGCTTGAAGATAAAGGCGTAAAACCAACAGGAACCTTCGAAATAGTAATATCTGGCTTTATGTTTGAAAAGAGTGAGCTTGAACAACTTTTTATTGCCGGTTGTGGGCGTAGACATCACCGTATTTGAAATATTCGGCCGATGTGCGAATGCGAGAGGCAAGGCAACAAATCATCCACAGTTCTGTAAACGCAGACTTTGAAAAGTGGTTGTTGTCCTGTCCAGATCCGGGTGCTCGAGAACCAAGCAGTTCAGCAAAAAGACGTGCTGGCCAAAGAGTACGTGTCGCGCCACCAGGTGAACGAGATGGAAACACTGTTTGGGACAGCGGTCGAGGACCTGAGCAACCGACTGAAGGACATGGAGAAGCGGAAGACCGATGTTCAGCGGCAGGTGAATAATTGGCATCTCACTTCGAACGGGTTCTTTGCTTGGTTAACCACCGCCGTGGTGCCATGTGAAACCTGCATCATGTAGTATGGTTCGGATGCCGTGGGCTTTATATTGCCGAGGAGTGATTCCAATGCCACATTCAGCCCTCGCATTGTCCGCCTAGCCCGTTTCAATAAACTTGCTGACTATGGCGTGGAAAATTGCACATACGTGCTTCGAGGAGCGCTATTCTACGGAGATATATCTCCGTCTTCTTGACACACCAACGGGAGCGATTCCTGTCCCCACCAACCAGGGCAATGCAATGGCGCGCGCGGAGGCTGTTGGGCTTGGGCGAGACCTTAACGGCATTCGTGCTCCAGGAAGGAGGCGTTGCCAAGCTGGAGCAGCGACCTTCTGCTAGCCGACGTGCAAGCGTGCCCGGCCACGCAGCTTTGCAGTGTATCGGGTGTAACCACTTGCTATCGTTGTCAAGGCTTACACCAAATGGTCCTCTAACAATCTGAAGCGGCGAAGCAACTGCGTCCAAGTTCTTCTTCACCTGTTTTGCTCGCGAAGAATGGCATCGTTATTTCCACCTTCGAACTCCTCGACAAAGGGGGTGCCGGGGTACGAGGGGGGAGGACCCATAGGTTGGCATGCCTTAGCGGTGAAACCATTGACCACGCGTCCTCGAGGGGACGGAACACTGTTGTTCCCACAGGACCGATCACCGATGGCCAATCGTTCCTTCCTTCTTGACGGTGGCTCAAAATGTTAACCCACTCGATCCTATCGATATTACTTCTAGCATTTTCGCCGGGGTGCACGGGGGGCGCTGTCGTCAAGTGCTTGTGCTATTTAGACGAGAGGGGTAAGAGGTCAATGGCAGGGAGAATTGGGGAACGATACCGCAGGTTCCACAGCGAAATTTTGCCGCGTCTATTTTGTGGGTGGGTAGAAAACGCTACCAGGCGCAAGCGCGGAAGAAGCACGATGAATGGAGGTACCGGGCAACCTAGAGCTTGGACTTTGAGGTCTCATTTTTTTGCAGAACAAAAACCTTTTCGTGCCCTGTTTAATCCCAAAGTTGTTGCCGATTAATATGTAGAATCCCTATCAAATGGTCGAATATCGGGACCAATTGATACTTGAAAGGATTATTTTCAAGAAGAGACGGCTTAGGTGGGGAGTAAGTTTATGATGGACAAACATCTGTCCATCGTGTACAAATTGAGGACCGTACGTAACCCTCGGCATTCTGTATATATATATGAGGAACTCCCGAAATGGCACGAGAGCGAGTCAGGTGAGATGAACACAAACATGAGCGACATGACGACTTTGGTGCTTCCACACGCCAAACAAGTATATAAAATCGTCGCTCTGCTCTCTGCCTGCCTGTGTACAGATACATGTAGATCACGTATGTGATTAAACCCATAGTGAGACAGAGGAATATCTAAAAAACAATATGTACTTCGACTTGTAGACTATATCGCTTTGAACAAGTTCACAATGTTTTCACCTGCGATAATATACTTGGATCCCATCTGAGTCTACAATTCCTTGCATATCCAACCCTGAAAGCTCGTTGTTGGAAAGAGGCCCATCACACTTGGAGTACTTGTAGGTGTTGCGTACAACTGTCTTCCTCTCAGTCCAGAAAACACGCTGTCTGTGAAGTCATCTTCATGTGGGGGAGGGTCCACCTTGCCCCCGAACTCGATACTGGTCGTCGCGGTGCCGCAGCCAAAAATTATGAATAGCTGGCGGAGCGACGAATAACCCAAACCTGTTGGTTAGTGAGGCTGCGATGAAGAGATATATATCTACACACGGTCTTTTAGTGACTATTACTCAACCAACCAGAGGTCGTAAAAGCACCTATGCAAACAAGTGGAAGCAGTTACATACTAACAGGGCTGAGGCAAAAAATACCCGGCAATCCACCGGTCATTGAGCCACCGAGCCCCCGTGGGTGGGCGTTTCTCTGCACCCACTGGTCTGATTGGGGTTTCCGATGGCTTGTATGATAGCCGTGGGCCGTGCCAACACAGTGCAAGACTTATTAGGGAATACGACGCTCTGTAAAGAGGCTGGCCTGGTGGAGCAGAAATAGCCCATCTGTTCCACCGGCCATCTGCTCCACCGGCCTTTGAGCTACTGAGCCCCCGTTGGACGGTACTCGCGAGTTAGTTGCAATCCACCGAAATCGCTGCCTACTTGTATCTGGGCATCAAGTGTTTTGTTGCTCCAGAGAGATTCGCACTCACCATCTATCCGCGGTTATAATACAATCTAGGTTCGACCGGCTATATATAGAATGTGGGGTTCCGAGGTCTTTCCAATTCGATAAATCAACTCCATGACACCTACTCGTGCATACGCCTCCGCCGCACAGCCATGTACAGCAACCTTTATGGAGTCAAGTGCAACTGCCGAAAATCGCGCGCGTTCTGTTCACCGGGGTGGTTAATGGAAGGCAACATGCCGTGAGAGATCAACAACCTACAAGGTCGCATTTGGCAGTCGCATCTGTGGCTTCAGCATACATCTGGCTGACGTTTCGCTCAGCGAAGTCGCAAACAAGCCGCAATCCTTGTAACAACAGGAATAGCAGCGGTCGCGCGGGCTTGGGTACTCCGTGAAACCCAGGAGAAATCTAAACATATACTTACAAGCTTGGATTGTTCACCTAAAAAACGCCAATACTCCAATCCGCATTGATCCACAAGGACCTCTACCTCGACCTTCTTCAGATGCATTCAGCACTGAAGATAACAGAAAACCCCAAGGGAGGTCATATTTCCACCACCACATCCCACGTGCATCGTTGAAGAACATGGAGTAAAGGCGCGGAATACCACGGACGCGGAGGTTGCCGGGATCCACGACAGCAGCACCAGCGATAGGGAAGAGAAGGGTGGAGAATCTGGCTCCGACTGAGTGCCTACTGCCACTCGCCTAAACGCTACGTCCTCCATATGTCTCGACAGGAAAGACAGGCGTTCTCACGACCAATCGGGTGCCGACTTTTCTATGGTTGCCGTACAACTGGGGCTGTGGCTTCCTTTAGCCAAGCGAGAGCCTCTTCGTCCTTCACCAGCTTGTGCAGTTTTGTCCAAACCTGGAGGTGGAACGAAACACGGCAGATATATGTGGAGACGATTCAGAGCAGCTCAAACGCTACTTACGAAACCATTGTAGCCGATAGAGAAAAAAGGCAACAGCAAGGACGGCGAGGAGAGAAGAGCCGGGAGAAGCATGGGTAGCATGCCACCAACATTTCGCACCTCTTGCTCGTGGGACAAAGGGTGAGCCGCTGCTCGACCTTCACTTCGAATATGATTCAGTGCAAGCTGCTCAGTTTCTGGAGTGCAGGAAAACTCACCACTTCGTGGTACTCATCCAGCCAGTCCAGCTCCTTGGACGTTAGAAGTGTTTGGTCGAGGAGTTTCTTTTGCATCGGGATGAAGGTGAGAGGCGCGAACGAATAAAATCTGCCAAGCAGGGGCGAACGAGAGGCCGAGAAGCATGAGCAACTTAAAGCGCGGTATCGAGAGAAGATCATGAAGGTCGTGCAACAAACACACCGTCGGCGAACCGCAGAATGCAACAAGGACAAGTGTGGCCGAAGCATGGGAAAATTCCCCCCGCGTTGACAAGGCTCCATTATCCTCTCGTCGATCTGTATCCAGAAACAGTTTGACCCTGAGCACGCAGATCATGCCACAATGCATGACTAGTTTCGGGGATGTACCTTCGCCCAAGAGTCTCATTGGAGATCCCAGAATCCACGATCTCGAGCAAGTTTTCGATACGAACCCCGAAGCTTCCTGGCTTGTAGTATCCAGGTTCGTTGCTCACGATCATTCCGGGCTCAAGAGGCGTAGTGTTGGCCGTCCGTGAACTGATAGACTGGGCGAAACAAGAAGCGGGAAGTGTTAGGGAATGGGTGGCTGAAAAAAGAAGATGAGAGACTTCCTCCATTGGTCGTGATTCCATATCATAAATACAAGGTAGGATCAAGGTATCGGGGGCTAGAAAATAAGAATTTGCCGCCGACCGCATAAAAAGAAATGGAGTTGGTTGCTGGCACGTGCGGTAAATGTCGGACTCGGCATTATCATGCCACAACAAAGTGTCCACGTAAGAACATCGGTAACGAGGAGGAGAAGGAACTCACGTGTGGACCCTCGTGGACGTTCAACGCGGCCCCCACGCCGTGTCCCGTACCGTGCTGGTAGTCCAACCCAGCGTCCCATAGATGACGCCGCGCAAATGCGTCTATCATAAATCCCGGCGTTCCATCAGGGAACTGGGCTGTTGCAAGGCCGATGTGTCCTTGAAGGACGCGAGTGTACGCCTAGATGGGTCAGAAATGCAGAACGGACAGAGCAGAGAAGAGGAGGGCAGCTGCTTGCGGAGGCTCACTCGAAAAGCAAGTGTTTCCATGTATTTTGGAGGACTTCGACCATCCATGCTGAGACAACGATAGAAACGATTGAAATAGAACGCACTTCATGCGTCGTACACACTAGTCGAAGGAAATAGAGACAGCAATCACCGGAAGATTCGACGTTTCGTCACGAACCTCTTTCTGTTCGGCCGTTGGTTCCCCGAAATGCATCGTCCGAGTAACGTCTGTAGTGCCGTCCTCGTACTGTGCTCCAGAATCGAGCAAGAGCATAGATTCTCGTCCAACGGTGTGGCATGAGTCAGGCGTCGCCGAGTAATGAATGATAGCCCCGTTCGAATTCTCCCCCGCGATGGTGGGAAAACTCAAATCTATTGCGTGGGCCGTAGCACGGAGGAGAAAAACGCGGAGAAACAACGGGTTAGGACCAACAGGCTGCACGCACAGTACAATACACGCGCGCGAAAACAGAGACGAGTGGAGGGCAAATGAAGCCCCTTTGACATCAAGGACCTGATTGGCAGCACTGTTAACCACAAACGCAAAACCGAAAGGGGAGAAACGGCGCACGATAGTATCGCAAAAGGTGTTGATTCCATTCTGCCACGGGTGCGGTGCATTTCAGCATTCCTCAGAATGTCTGTGCTCACCCACAAATTTATCTTGCTGTGATCTTGCAGTAGTCGCCCGTTGGTCAATATCAACCTCAGTGATAACTTGCCCCGCTGCTACATCGCGCTCCAACCTCGACAACGCCAGCACCATAGCAACTCCATCACGGACATGAGCTGCCCGCATCCCTTCAAGTTCCGGCGCGTTCTTGATCCCCTTCGCCATAGACACTGGCGAGGGCTTTGCGATGAGGCTGTTTAATGAGTGGACAATCCATGAAACCGCACGCAATTAGATTCGAGCCGATCGACTTATGAGTAGCCAGCATGTGAACGAAAACAAGGATTGTCGTATAAACAAAGCGATTCGCATGGTTTCGCGTTGTGGAGAGGAACTGGCCTTACTCAAGACGAACGGTGATAAAGACCAACGCAATGGCAGACACACAGCGTTGCATGCTGTGAACGGTAGAGCTTAGCACGTCGGCAATTCATGCGCCAGTGGCCGGCAAGTCCTCCACGCTCTCGCTTGGTGCGCACTTCTCAAGACCCCCGGGCACCAAGTTCCCGCCATGGTGATCTTGGGCACACTTTGAAGCACTCCTGCTCGGAGTCTTAGAGCGAGCCCATGGAACTACGACGGTGGGTTTGGTGCGAAAAGTGACGTATCCCCGACCCCACCACCACTTACTCGTCCTCCCCGACGACGTTTGCGAACGCGAAATTAACCCTTTCTGGGTCGATCCACACTTTCTTTCCTTGCTTCGCAAGCGTGCGGACCGCCTCCAAGGCCTCCTCGTACCCGTGCACCTCTACCCCGTGCTCCTGCCGAGGGACGATCCAGTACAGAAACAGCGATGTAGCAGGGGCCACGATGCGAAACCTTGCGGGATCAACTCGAACGAGCGGTGTCGCCACGCGGAATCTAAAAGAACGCGACCAAGTGATGAGTTTTCAGGGTGCAACCTTCAAGTTAACCTCAACTATGCCATTAGGCCGCCATATGATTTCCAGCAAACTAGTGCTCCAACGCTTCAACCCTTCTCGTACCTTCATCTCCGCCTCAACTTCAGTGGACATCTTGGCCTCGTCGATGAACACTGTCGCCCCGTTCTCCGTGACGAGAAGGTACGCAATAGCTACCGGGGAGTGCGCAACATCGTCCCCGCGGATGTTGAGGATGTAAGCCACCTGCGAGGCGAACGACCAAACACAACATCGTCACACGTGGAGCTTCTAAAACAACTCCCGTTTGTGCACCTCCGGTCGACTGACCTTGCACGGCGCACCCTGCAATTCAAGTCGCACTCAGAACCCGGTTTATTTGCTTTACCGTTGACTCTCCGACCAAAGGTGGGCACAGTGCAGAACGAGAAACACATTCAAGCCGGGCATGCGCAGTACCTCGTCCAGCAGGCCGCTCACGAAAACGTCCGCCTTCTCCTCCAGCATGCTCTTACGGATCTGCAAGAGAGAGAGACCGGAACGCACAAGAGCCGTGAAACTTCGACTTGCGGTGCTTCTTTGCATCGATGGATGCCGTCGTCACTTTTTATGATATACAACTACCTCTGCAACGCCACAATTGAGCTAGTGTTGGTCCCGTTCTCCACGGCATGTGGTCGCTTGTTCTGAAGTAGCGTCCCGTGCAACCTCTAAACGCCTTTACGTCCCCCAAAATATATCCACCTTTGCAAGCTTGTCCTTGACGGTTTCACCAGCATACGCCATCTTGTGTATCCGAACAGGGGATTTGGGAGGCGCTGGTCGCGTTTCACCCCAGATCTTGTCCACCGGGTTTTTATCGCCGGCGTGATCAATCGCGGCAACGGAAATGCCTGCAGCACCGAGCTCCTGGAGAGATAGAACGTTCCAAATACACGCGTCATCAGGTACAGCTGCAGCAGGTAGTGTCCCGGGCATCGGTAAATTCGCCGCCGATAGGGAGAGTCGTGACAACGCAGCAAGAAACGCTTTCGAAAACTCGCCTTTTCGAGAGCCTTTACGGAGGAAGCTGAGTGCACGAAAGGATCGATTGCCACGCGAGATTGCGTCGGCAGATGCTTCGCAAGGAACTCCTGGATAGTTGGAACAGAGGGCTTGCCAGCCTTCATGAGCCTCCAGCCCTTGCCCAACTGTTGATCTGCTTGAAGATGGTACCGCCCATCCGTCCACAGAAGAGCCTGCCACAAACGTAAAGGTCGGGATAAACGGTGAGAGAGTAAGCATTGGCGTGGAATCGAGTGGTCGATCCAGAAAGAAAACACAAACCCGCGCCTAACACACTTTCTGGAGTTCACCTCATCCTTCAGGATCACTGCCGTCCCAGCCGATCCCGTAAAGCCCGACACGAAAGCCCTCCGATTAAAGCACTCGGACGCATACTCGCTGAGAGGGAGCGATGGCATCGGCGCGAACGATACAAGTACGGGACAAGCTGAACCAGGGTGTGTTGTTGTGGGTCGATTCGCGAAAGATGTTTCCTATATACAAGGTTGATGGATTGGGCATATACAAGCGCGTCATACCTCAGATGTGGGTCGTCGCTTGGCACGATGAAGCAGTCCATGTTCTCTTTCCGCATCCAAGCCTGAAGGCTAGACAACACTGGCGACGCCTCTTTCTGTGCATGCAATCAGAGACGAACGTTGGGCGCATCAGTGGTATACATCCAAATAGCCTAGGCATACATCCGTGTAGATGCACGACGATCACGCGACGCCTCACTGCTCTTGAACCACGGGGGTGATCAGCGGGCATTGTATCGTTCGTGTTGGTGGTAAATTACATAGCGTAGAAACGGCCCTGCTCGCATGCTGCTTACGCATGTAGAACAAACAAAACACGAACCAGAGCGCACCGCGTACGGTGTCCGGCACAACGTGATTCAGAAGTGGGGCGAGTGTTGCACATACCTCTGCAGCTGTGTCGCTGGTTGGCGTTTCCGCAGCTGGTACCGTGGCGTGCAGACGTCTGTTTGCTCCTCCACGAACACCGAGGCATCTTCCTGAAACTGCAGCAACAGCAGCAGCTCCCCTGATTGTTGTACCGTGCGAGCTGCATTTAGCTCGGGAGCCCCCAAGACGCAGAGACGAACTCACTCGGGCAACTCCCTGATTTCCGACCGGCCGGCGACGTTGAATACAAAGTACATTATAGACGAAAGCCAGTGAACGACGAAAGCAACCAGAAAAAACGTTCCCAGTGAGACGTACCGCCCCGGAACACCAAATCGCCTACTGCTGCTGTCGGCACCTGTACAACACCATGCGTAGCACTGCTCAGAGTGAGCGAAACAATTGTTACTGCGAAGGACAGACGCATTGCGTCTCGCATTCATACATACACGTGCACCGAGAAACCACAGTAACATAATGCTGTGTGCAGCTTCGGCAAATAATTCTCCAAGCCTAACCATCGCTAAATCCTCTCGGTCCTGTATTGCGGTAGACTAATACAAAAGTCTATACAAATATGCTGTCTGGGAAATCGTAGACATGCAGGTACTTTCTGACGCTATGAATTCATTGCTAATCTGTCTCAGACTCTTTTCTATGATAGAGATCGATTCGTTGTGTCATATATCGATTCGTTGTGTCATATTAAGAAAAAAAAAAAAAGTCTACCAGCTTAGACTATGACTCGCTGCTGAATGGGTTCAAACACGTATGTCCTGCCTCTGGGTACAAATACAGGAGGGAAAGATTGGCCGCCCACACTCACGGCGATACTAGATACAGGCAAAGATGAGCCATGTACATAGCGTCCGGCGGGTGAAGGATATGGAGGGAGAGAGAGTACAGTCATTGATCTGGCTCAGGGCTGCAATCATTGGCGGGCAAGAAGAAAGTAAGTACCGAGCTGTCTGCCGAACATGCCATGCTGGAGACTAGACATGTTGTAGCTCACCTTGCTGAAATTCATGAAGCCGCTACACCTACTATAGCATGCAGCAAGCGCCATGACGCTCGTTTTCCGCCACATGGGGCGAGGGTGTGCTTCAGACTTCAGAATGTCCTTGTCCAAAGCTAGCCGTGTAGGTGGAGCTGCCAAGTTGCCTGCAGCAACACAACAACAACTTGACAGAACAGTAGTTGGCCTTTGGGGGCTTGGCGAGACTACCGGATTGGCGAGATCGAGGGGGAGCACATGGAGAGGAAACGATGGTGGGTTCAAACATCCTGCGTCGCCCCCTTTTAGGTCGCCGCGTACCGAGGCACCAGACCACATCCATCAACTGAAGCGCAGCCCCGTCAGCTCCGGTTGAATACATAAGCAAGTGGGAGGTCGGGAAGAGTGAGGAGTCGGTAACCATTTCATCAGAATGGTTTGTGAAAAGTGCGAGACGAAGCTCTCCAAAGTCATCGTGCCGGACAAGGTGAGACACGGCGATACGGTCGGCTGCCAAGAAGCTGCGTGTAGACATACTTCTGTAACGTGATCGTAATCCTGGGAGTTGCAGCTACGGTGAGGGAGAATGCGCGAAGAAAGACACAGGAACATCTGCGGACGTATTAGGGTATCGTGCCGCTTGCCGTTTGGTTTCATTTTCGCGTGAATGATTTGCGTTTTGACATCGCGAAACACAACTCGTGTTGGCTCAAGCTTCGTATCAGCAGTGGCCGGCTCTCTCTCGCTCGCGGCGATGGTGGTACCCTGGTGATGTCAGGAGAGTTAACAACACAGAGGGCGTGCTGTCGTGTTTTCTAACCATGATACATAGTGTTCGAATTGTCTTGTCGAGGGCCTCCCGGCAACGTACCTCGTGGAAGGGCCAGTTTCCCACCGTTTTCGGTTTGAGTTTTTGAGATGAGGCGTTGGCGGAGGAATCGAGGATCGACCGTTCCGAGGTCGGGAGTTTTGTAGAGGTTGCTGCCAGACGCTGCACAGACAACAGGACTACGAAGTTTGTTCTCCTGGCCTGTTCCACCTGCTTCAGTATACGGTAGCCTTCACAGTTTTAATTGTTCTATGAGTAAAGGAGGGGTGATACACTGCGACACAGCAGTGACTACACCTCCGATGCATAGCAGTCAGTGTTGGATATTGCTCCGGAAGAAGGGTTCGATACAATACGCCCACCGTATCGAGAAAAAAACGCAATTACAGTACCGATATTTTGGTCGATATTCTGAAAATGGCTCGATACGTATCGAGTATCGAGTCGATATTGGTATAGCTGTTTGTGATTGTTTTCAGTTTTCGGAGCAAACACCATGGATAAACCTCAGAAAAGCAATCAACAAGTCAGAAAAAAATGGAAACTCCCCACGACAGGCGGGGCTGTGTGACGAATCTGCTGCATTTCCGTTCAGTGATCACAGGGATGTGGACCTCCCAGACGTGAAAAAATGGGGGCCCAGCGAAATTAATGACCGCCCTCCCCTGTTTTTGTGTGTCGGGGCCGCCGAATGGGCCAGTATCGGAGGGTATCGAATACCGATATCTCGATACCGATACCGATTCGTATCGACAAATATCGGCGTGGAAACCGGCGATACCGATACTGAGTATCGCCGATATATATCAGTTTTGAATCGATATTCGATGCCCAATATCCAACACTGATCGCAGTACAAGTAGATAAACAAAAACAGTATATACAGCGCATCAGCCATGGAAAGCAGTGATCGTAGCAGCCATGGAAAGCTCACGTGCTCCCGGCTGGTTCGTATTTTGAAAAGGAAAGTCTCCCGCTTTTGGCTCTTTGTGCACCGGGTGGCCTTGCCCAAAGAGCGTTTTCTGTTCGTGTTATCCCTTGACTCCAGCCGGCGCTTGTGTTTGTTTGTTCACTGAAGAGCTCACTGCATGCTTTCCCCATCATGCTGATCTCTTATCTAGAGAGCTCCGATCCAGGGTCACAAAGAATGGTTTATCTGCCAGCTTGCGCGTGCGGCTCCGAAATTCTTTCTTTGGAATCCCCGGGTTTGTGTGGCAATAAGCCATCGATGAGTTGGTGCCACCTGAACTTTTATCGTATATCCAGGTGCATGTGGCATTCTCACGAAACTAACCAAAGTCTTGTAAGCTTGCTGCTATATTTCGGCCGAGCTATGCAGATGGACTGTTTGCCATACTTCGTCTTACGGATGCGACCTGTGGTGAAGGGCCATGTCCAATGTATGGTGATTGTAACGTGCTCCCTGTCGTTGCGCCGATGTGGCAAGCGGGTAAGCATGCTCCCGTGAGGCCATGCAAAAGTTGACCTTGCGGGAGGTCTCAAAACTCTTCTAAGCGATCGTCCTGGCGTCAACTAGCGAAGTGCGGGAGGCGTAGCCGAGAAGGTTATATTGGTAGAAACGCAACCTACGGTGTGTGGAGTTAGCTTACAGTAAATGGTTGAGCCGGTGGGGCAACTCGTATTCTTTTGGGAAATAGACACAAGTGGGTATACCCACCCGTTTCTCGGACAAAAGTGGGTACTCGAAAATCCAGCGCGCGCGCACTCCATAGGCGACCCCCAAACGACTCAAAACCCCATTCTGACACCTGGGCAACACAGCCAGGGACCATACACAGCACGGGCATCGATTTTTCCCCACTTTTCGGCACACCTTTGGCCCTAATACCGCCGACGCGCGCAAGGCCTCACCAGAGTGCCCACTTATGTCCGACATCGCGGTGGGTATACCCACCGGCGTCAACTAATTTTTTCATGTACCCACTTGTGTCTGTATTTTGACCCACTTTTGTCCAAATTGTACCCACTTTTGTCCACTTACGGACGGCGAAAATCGAGCGGAAATCGACCTCCACGTCACCGCACGGCAGAACATCGAATAGCCTCGGAACGTTCTCAGAACCTCCCAACACCGTATCCATGGCATCTTTCCTATCTATGGCTGCCGATTGCGGACCGACCACGGAGGTACATGTCAGAAACATGCCAGACCCCTTCGGTACCGACCGGCACGGGGAAGATACCAGGCACGGGAAGATACCCGCGGCAAGCCCGGCAAGCAGCGCACTAACGGCACGCCACAAATAAATGCGTGACACACAACGGACACCACAACCAACGGGTCGCGCATACAGAACAAAAAGACGCGCAAACAGCAACAACACACACACAAAAACACCAGCCACCACGACGAGTGCACACCGACTTGTCACGGCAACAGTAGGCTTGCCGCGGGTATCTTCCCGTGCCTGGTATCTTCCCCGTGCCGGTCGGTACCGAAGGGGTCTGGCATGTTTCTGACATGTACCTCCGTGGTCGGTCCGCAATCGGCAGCCATAGATAGGAAAGATGCCATGGATACGGTGTTGGGAGGTTCTGAGACGTTCCGAGGCTATTCGATGTTCTGCCGTGCGGTGACGTGGAGGTCGATTTCCGCTCGATTTTCGCCGTCCGTAAGTGGACAAAAGTGGGTACAATTTGGACAAAAGTGGGTCAAAATACAGACACAAGTGGGTACATGAAAAAATTAGTTGACGCCGGTGGGTATACCCACCGCGATGTCGGACATAAGTGGGCACTCTGGTGAGGCCTTGCGCGCGTCGGCGGTATTAGGGCCAAAGGTGTGCCGAAAAGTGGGGAAAAATCGATGCCCGTGCTGTGTATGGTCCCTGGCTGTGTTGCCCAAGTGTCAGAATGGGGTTTTGAGTCGTTTGGGGGTCGCCTATGGAGTGCGCGCGCGCTGGATTTTCGAGTACCCACTTTTGTCCGAGAAACGGGTGGGTATACCCACTTGTGTCTATTTCCCTATTATTTTTCGGTAGCCTTTCCACCTCTCCCCTCTCATTACCAAGTGATCAAGGTACTATCATTTGTATCCCTTCGTCTTTGCTGTCTCCAAGGCTTACAGGATGAACTATGCTTTATTTACTTTGGAAATGCCGCACGCCGGGCAGCATCCCCGTCCACGTCCGCCGATTGATTCCAGCGGTAATCCATGACCACGTCCCGCTTTCGTGTTCGTGTTACTGCTGTGCAGTGGAAAGACGGTGCTCGCAACACTACCGGCGGTGACAGCGGAGGCCGGCGGGTGGGTCATGAGAACATGTTGCTGAAACACGGAGCAGCGAAACGCCGCAACAACAGGTGCCGTTCTTTTCCATGTGTAGGTGTGTCAGAGGACCAAAGTAAACGTGCGTGTTATGGCACCGGGGTGCTATCGGTTTCTTTATCATTCCTTTCTAGGCTTTTTGTTTCGCCCGGTGCAATAGCTCCGATGGGTGCTATTACACCGATACCGTTGCGCAAAAGCAATAAAATTGTGTCGTTCTAGACTTTTCAACGCACTCCCGGTGTGATGACAACGATTGGTGCGATGAGGAGTAATTTACAGTGGCCCTACGGTGCTCAGTGCGGGCACCCGGTGCGATGACATCGATTATGTGCGATACTGAAGAAAACACAGGCGCTTCCCATGTAGGGGAGCTTTGCGGTACATGTGCATGGCCAAAGACGGTATCTGGTTGTCTTCCAGCCTCTTTGTTGGTCGCAAGCCTCGATTTTTGGCTGGTGCTGCCGTTTGTCGTTGTCTTCGTCGAGTGGCACGATATCGGGATACTGAGTTCCTTTTTTGTTCGGTTGGTTGGAGATGCTGGGTGTGTGCTGTTTTGTTTGTTGGATGTGCATTCGAAGACCGAATACCGTACCGTAAAACTAAAAGCCTTCTACACGCACACCTCGCCGGTACGATATTCATGAAAGGATTGGCGCCCCAAGTGAAGGTAGCCGTCTATGGCTCGCGTGACGGTGGCGTTGAAGCCACGCTGTGACATCTACATTGTTCATGTGTGGCGCTTCCTATTCGCGCGGCATGCGTTTGGTCTTTCCAGGTTCACGCCGCTGACTCGCGTCTGCCGGATTTGCAAGACCAAAGTGAATCAAGACCACCACTATTGCCAAGAATGCGCCTTCTCGAAAGGTACGCCTGGGTTGGTGTGAGGTGTGTTTCGGCACATGTAGTTTTTCTGCTGCCGCCCTTGTTGTGAAACAGAAATTCATGGACGCAAGCCCTACCGAGTACCTGAAGGATGCAAGAGAACGCACGGGGGTGCGATCGACTTTCTAATTGATGTATTTGTTGACTTTTTATCGCACGGTATATGCCGGTCGTGCCATAGACGTTCAGGGTCGAAATCCTTTAATTAGACTGTCGCACGGGGGGTGCGATAACCCCGATACTGCGATAGATACTTTGTGAACAGTTAGTTTATCAACCCTACAGCATCAGTACTGGGCACTTTCACCGCACACCCCCTTGCGAAAACTCCGATGCGATACACAACGTGCCACGACCTTAGAACACACAGCATTTCAATTCGTGGTACGCAATTCCGCCATATGTACTATTATTAATACAACGTTTCGAGATGAAACGTCGAGGTTCCTCTGGCGTAGTGATTGTCCCCCAACCACTCGAGGCACTCTTTATCGGGTACGATATCGCCGATCCCCGTGCGAGAATCGAATTATGCTATTTCGGTCTTGGGCTTTTTGTTGCACACGGTAATACCGGTACGTGCGACATCATCGAACCGTGTGCACCTTAGCATCCTTACGGTAACCACTGGGCATTTTCCGATTTTTCCGTTCTGTTTGTTGTGTTTGAAGGAATTTGCGGAATGTGTGGACGGAAGACGGACGACATTACCAATCAGCGACGCACGGCAAAGTAGGCTCTGCTGCACTGGAGCGAAGATCACAACCATGTGCTTTGTGTCGTTGAAGCAACCCTGGGGTTGATGACGTCTGTGAATATCCTTGTGCTCTGTGTTTCCGTGTTGATATTTCGGGACTGGGGGGGGGGCAAGGTACGCCGCTACCATTTGTTAATAGGAAAGCAACAAGCGGTTTGAGTCTAAATGAATCCGACTCTCTTATGCTGAAGGAGGGAAGCGTGTGCTGTTTGTTGTCAATTATCCATATATACGTGCTGAGCAGTTCACTAATGTAGACGCTTGATAGGGGCGGCTAACTTACTTGTTTGGCCCCTCAATGCATACGCCGTTGTGTCCCCCCCGGCTCGTGGTTGTGGGTACCTTGGGCTTGGCTGGCTTGGACCGAACGAATCTTTCCCAAATAGAAAGCGAAAGTTTTGGGGAACACGTGAACAGAAGTAGGGTCCTCTTGGAATCAACAATGAGAATCCCGTGGAATCAAAAAAGATAATATCCCGTGGAAAGTCTTGATTCGCAAGCACGACGGTGCTAAAAGGAGCGTATGTTTGGGGGGGAGAGCGAACCTTCACTGCGCCATGCAGTACTAGAACTATAACTGAAGGATAAGCCACTCTACAGAAAAACACATCCATGATCGAAGGAAAAACATCCAGTTTGTGCATCGAACGATGTTATCTGCGAACAAAGACGGTGTTCGAAGCGTACTCGATGTTGTCTTTATATGGCGTTTTGGCTTTGATCGGCGTTTTCGGCTTTCTTCCGGAGTAGTGGGAAAGTAGGGTAACAGTTACCGAAGGTTGAAAGCCTGCGTTCACGGTTTACGGCACCGCTGCAAGTGATCAGTAGTAGCGCTCTCCTGTTGTGTTTCTCGTCGCGCACACTGAACCGACAGATAGGGGAGGCGGCCTTCCTTCTACTACAGAAAACCAAGGACCTGCTCGTCACTCGTTGGCAAAGCTATTGTGTTTCTCCATCAACGCCATGGTTACGGTGGCGATAGTGGAATCAGGCGCGCGAATCGATAGAATGCCACCAACGTGTTTGTGCCTTGCCTCGTTTTCAGGAAACATAGATATGCCTCTACCTCAGGCAGTGGTCGGACTGTCCCGATCGTACTTACGATACTGTGGTCTGCACGTGCGGGTGCCAAAGTCATGCCCTAACTGCTCGTGAGGTGACCTTCATCAAAAGCCCTTTCATGTCCTTTGAAGGATACGGTGCTTTCGAACCCACCATTTATATGACAAAAGATCGCTCATGTCGTGAGCGATGCTTCCATCTCTCGATATCGGCACCTCACAGTGAAGACTCCCATCCGCACGGACCTGATTCTGAAGCTGAACTATTCAGGCTCTCAGACCTAAATTACCCTCTCATTCCGATTCCCCCGCCCTTGCCCGACCGTGTCTCAAAAGCCGATTTCAGCCAATGGCGCGCGGCTCGCGACATCTCGAGTATACCTCGATAGGGCATTGTGCCCAGTCGCCGAGTTTGATCGACTTCCGCGTGCAGTAGCGTACGTCAAGAGTGTGCGACCATGTGCGCTGTTTTCTATCGTATTAACTAGTTCGCCGTCTTGTTGTCGTCATTGCTCTTTTTGGAAGATTCGAATCTTATGGTCAGCTTGGCAGTAAATCAACAGAGTGATGTCGACCTACGGCGCATGTGTGACGATATCTCGAGTATTCCTCGATAGCGCACATCGCGAGACATGCCCCCTCTCCGAAAACCACCCCCATCCGCGCGCAGCAGCAGACACAACAAGTGTACGCCCATGCATTTCCTCGTCTTGTAGTCTACAAGCCGATTCCCCTTTCGACTTCTCAGTTTGATTTCAGTCTAATCTGTATTTCGCTTCGTATCACTCGCCTTCTCACATCCTGCAGAATGACCTAAAATCTTTGACGAGTCCTTCCCTCGCCCATACTCTGGCCGGGAGTATCAAGGGTGTCAGGAAAAAAAACACTTCACAATGTCCAGCCTGGGTCTCGAACACACGGCTAACTTATGTTGAAGCTGAAATAAAAAAAACAATTATACTAGTCAGCGCTGCCTAGTCTATTGATTTGATTTCGGCTTCTGTTGTTTTTACCACTCCGCCGTCTTGCTGGAACCATTTCGTCAACAATGAATCTCTCGCTTTCTCCTAAGTTCTGAAAAATGGCGTATCTCCTCTCCCCCTACTATTGTAGAAATGTAATTCTGAAGCTTTAGCCTCAGTCTCATCTTTCAATATCCGTGGAAGTTTCATTCGCATGCCCCACCCCCGACCCGGTCTAAAATGCTGATCTCGAGCTACAGTGCAAATCTCGTGGCGCCTCGAGTATGGTTCGGCGTGGAATCGCAAATCATGAGCCGTCCCCGAGTTTGAGCAGCTTCCGCCTCCTGTGACCGGCAAGAGTCGACCTTGACTGTTCCTTGCCCTGTTTCGCCCTGGAACAGCGAAAGAGGGTCGTGCGTGCTGCGCGCCACATCTATTTTTATTTGTTTTTGCGTTTGTTCTTGAGTGACCATTGTACACATGCGGCTGCTGCTGGGGTTGCTGCTGTTATGCTCGGAATGTGCTGCAATGGTCGTACGGTTATCGTAGTCAGGTTTGACAACAGTCTGCTCGCTCGTATAGCGGTAGCGGTGCGCATCTATCGCGACGGCAAGCGCATTGAGATAATATTGCGTCCGTCGTGCTTCTAGTCTAAACAGATAGTCGTGTTCTTCTTTGTTGCCACTTGATACCAGAAAAGAAAGAAAGTCTCCACCAACTTACAATATCTCCACAGCAGTTCGGAAACGACGACTACTCTTCTTTTGTCGTGTTTGTTGTTGCTGAGCGCACATCGGATGTTGCCGTTCGTTACACGTGTTCGAGCCTGCGGTGGGCCAGAGAGATGAGAGTGGGTGTCTTCTCTAGAGTTCATGCGTGGTCTTCTCGAGTCTCCCTTCCTTTAGTTTACCTCTCTCTCTCTCTGTTGCATTTTGCCGTTAGGGTCCCAATAGCATCGAGCGTCAACGGCAATCGTTTTGCATCTTGCTGAGTAGGAGGCTACCCGTGTACCCGGTTGCTGCATGTGAGGCGATGGGCGCCGCCTCCTTCCGTCGAGCAACGCGCATGGCCCCTACGGTTCGCCGCACATGCAGTGCTGTGTGACATCTTCCAGCGGTTCAGAGCGGCGACGATGTTTTTCGCCGGTAGGGCCCCAGAACAACGCGAACCGCGACTGTTTCATTGTTTTGGGGTCCCCCCACTCTCTCACCCAACCCACCCATCAATTTTGTTTTTTGTGTTTCCCTGCCGACTAACAACCTCGGCTACTGCAGTGCAAATTTCATGGCCTCAAGTACGGTTCCGTAGGGAATTGCAAATCACGACCCCCCCCCGACTTTGAGTATAGCTTCAACCTCCTGCGGCGGATAAGACCGACGTCAAACCCTAGATTTTGTCTGTCTGTGTCGCCATGTGGCCATCCACGAGCAGCAAGCAGTTGGAGAGTCACAATAAAGAGGGTCCGCTTCGCCACCAAGAACACAGTTTTTTTTTCGATTCTGCTACAGCTGGATATGATGCTACCATGTATCGGGTATAGCTGCGGTTGAGCTTGAGGGACAGGGTCTACGGCAGCATTTTCTGTGCGAGGAGTTAACGCCTTCCTCGCGTAACGATGCGCATCTCCCACGGCAAGCAGAATGAAGTACGTCATCATGACGCTGTTTCTTGTGACTTCAAGTTCAACTTCGCCCGGGCGTTATTGTTCTTACCGGAGAGAGGGACTAAACTTCTACTAAAATACGTACCAGTCCGTGTACCCGGGTACTGCATGTTGTGAGGTAGTGGGTGCTGCCCCTGCTGTTTGCTGCGGTACATGGAAAGCTTCCGGTGGGTCAGAGCGGCAAGGGGGCCTTGTTTCTTCACTTGTTTCTTAGCTCTGCTCTCCTCTACTTCTTTGTTTCCTGTCGCTGGCGGTCTCTCTTTTTTTATCGCCCTTCGTTCTTGCTTGCAAGAAACTGTGAGGATGTACGCAACAAGGTGCCCCACTGTGGGTGTGCCTGTGCGCACTCCGTGCTGGATTGGTGTCGCGGCTTGGTGTGGCGCCTTGCCACGGCACTACTTTCTTTGCGTCAGTGCGTCACTTGCCGTCGACTGGACCGCTAGTGTTCGAAGTTGGTTTCGTTTCACCCAAATCGGGATCCGATTAAATCATTTTACCTTTTTTTCTTATGCCCGATTTGGAGAGGGGGGATCCGATAATAAGTCCTAAAGATTCCACGGGTTCCAGAACTTTTAGCCAATCAACAAGAGAGTTCTTTGGATCTTGTGGTCTTACAATCAAATCGGGAACCGATTCCTTCGTTAAGACCGGCCCTGAGAAGTTCCGGTAGAAGACTGACGGGTTTTTTCGGGTGCGTGTGAGGTCGCCTCTATTATTCTTTTACTTTTTTCTTCTTTATTGTCCAGTATCTCGCATAGCGTATTGAAGCGAGCGGGAGGTCCTAGACTAATCTGTCGTTGACTTGCGGACCCTTCTTGGGGTCAATTTTATTTTCGTGTAACTTTTTTGGGTAAGTTAGCCTGTGACCACGGCGGGGATCGACCGCGTCAAGTGTCAGACTATCATACATAGTGGTACGGACAGACGAAGAAGGTACTGGGTAGAGAGAGCAGAACGAACGGGATTGTAATTAATTGTGAAGACAACAACAACGGAACTGCTGGGTTCGTCCATGGATAGTTTTTGCAGCACTTTTTATGAAGTTTAGCGTATAGAACGACTTCTTCATGGATGGGTATAATGAGAGGTTTCAATTCAACTAAGTAAATACAAAACTTACTGGAGTATGGAGGGTGCTCCTTGTTCTTATGCATGGCATGTACCGGCAGTAGGTGACATAATATATCGCATCATCGATATTCACAGCTAATAATGTTAGTCCACGACGACGAGGATGTCAAACGATAGGTTTGTTTCGGAAAGCTATCGGTGCCAACGCCGCCCGGCCACGCCACGCTTTCTGCTGTGGAGTAATCGAGCTTTGAAAAATGTTCAGGGGGTGTGACATATAAATGTCATTTACTCTGTGTATACAGTAGAACTCTTTGACGTGCTCGGTGGGCGAGCGTGTCGCGGTGTGCACCCTCGAACTTCATTAACGGCTAAAAAACCTGAAAGCTTCCGACAGGCGACGCCACGATACTCGTCGAGTTGCTATCACAATGTCGGAACATATGAATATCAAGTTGGTCGGTGGGGCTTTCTGGTCCCCTAGCTCAGTGAATTTCGGACAATTGAATCTCACTTCTCTGTACCTGGTTATATGTATCTTCCCGTGGTATTGACGTGCATTCAATCGTAAGGATCCGTGACCCTACAAACGACGTCCTCGAGGTCTGAAGGTCTTTACAAAGAAGAGGCCCTCCGTCTGCTGTGACCAGTCGGAGGGTGAAAGCAGGCCCCTTAGGCTCACTCTCACCTTTCAACCTAGCAAGGCCGACTACAGCAAGGTCAGCCACGCTGGCAATTCCTTGCCACATTGCAACACGAGCGAAATTACCTCCGCTGGTCAACGGTTATTCTCCACTTCAGAGACCTTCACTCATATCAGGGTGAGGTATTCTCCAGTTATCGCAAAAAATCGGCGAAAAGGAGTCTCAGACTGTTGGCCAGTGGATGAATGAATTTTGGAGAAATGAATCTCTGTTGTAAATGATTCCAGACAAACAAATCTGACTTCCTACTCTTGTCGATAAAAGATGTTGATTCGTGTTCGGCGTCTTTTCGAATCTTCATGTAGCTTGGTGCCATGGTCGTCAAATTGTTTGTAGATGGCATCTTGGTGCGCAGGTTGGTTCACACTTTTACTTCATCTTGGTATCGTTTTTTGTTGTGTATGATACTTCAGCGAGGTTGCCCTTTGGTTTTGATTGCGTGAGCAGGACTTGTTGACTGTGTGCTGTCTTGTGATATAATTGCGTCCTGGCGTGCAGGTAGTTTACTTAGTTCGCGTAGCCTTGTTGAAGAATAATGAGGTCCACGTGCGGTATCGCCGGTTGTCATTTCAGCACTTCACATGAGCAAGAGTGTGCCGCCACACAGTCAACCCCCCCAGAATAATTGGGGCCGCGGGTTGTCTAGATGGAGCCTAAACTGTAAGATGTGGCAAATATTGCTGTCATCTGCACATCTTGTAACCCATCTCGATTCCTCAGGTTGTGAACAAGAGCCCTCTAGTGGCGGAGATACACACACGCGCTTTTGAAGGGGTACCCATGGTCGGGCCACAAGCGTGTATGTAGTCACTTCTCTCTACGCCATAATCAGCCGTTAGCACGTCCGACTGATCCGTCCATTTCCATCATAGCACCAGCCTGCGCGACAGCATATCAAGCTAGTCCGATCCATCGATATCTGCATCCTTGTTGTTCTGAGAACATCAATGCACAACACGTTCTTGTGCTCTAGACCTCGGTGGCGGAACGAGTGGGGGGAGCA